GGGGGGGGGGGGGCACGCATGTATTGCATGCCTTTGGCGCCCTATTCGGATCGCTCTGCCTTTACCTCAACCGCCGTAAGGCCACGGGAGAAGGGGGGGGGGGTATCAAGCACTGCCATTGTGTATGTTGTCAGGACATCGCGGGAAGGTGTCATCGTAGCTACGTTGTAGCCGTCATTTAGCAGTGTGGAGATGAGTTTTCACTACCGTTGACCGCTAGGTGGATGGTGGACACAAAAATCATTTCTTCTTCTCATCGTATCTCGTGTGTGTGTGGCCGAGCCACACCGATTCACTCCCACCACTGACCGCAACGTACAAGAAATCAAACATCGGTCTCAAGCACATGATTTGATGATCACAGCACAAGCTACCAGCTGAGTGAAGAGGGCTTGGAGGTGCATACGAGGGTTCCTGCATCGCACACCACAAGCTTCGCCCCTACAGCCTATTACAATTAGAGACGGCGGGAGTTAAGAAGCTGTGCACAAACGGTCACATGCACGGCCGCAGCAGAAGCCTGGAATAGGGAGAACGTCGGGGGGCCGTAACACTGACAAGCTGACTGCCAGGCCGTGGGGACACAAAAAACGTACTCCACGTTGCGGGGCGTTCCACCTGGCATTATCCGGTTGACCACTCCGATCTCGAACCATTATTTTTCCGTGAGCGTGTGTGGCCGGGCGCGTGGCGTGACGCAAGGGCCTAGTTCCGTACCCTCGCCAGTTCACGTGCCCTCTAAACCAACGTGTCCCATTACTCCGCAACGAACAAGGTGCCTGCAGGCGAAACGGCATCACGCCTGCGAAGAGCCTCCGGCTATGCATACAACCACTCTGCAAACAACACCTTCTCCGGGAAGCTCTCGGTTGCTATGAATAGCCTTTCCGCCTGCCGTATTCGACACAAGATAACACACCCCCTGGACCGGTTTTCGAAGATCGATTTATCAACAGCAGAAAGAGTGGGGGTGCCGAAAACGGCGGCGTTGAAGCCGTCCGGTCGAGAGTTGCCGAAATGTATCATTTTGTTCATGCATCCTCTTGGTCGTGGAGTAATCGAGCTTTGAAAACCGATCCAGGGGGTGTGTTATCTTGTGTCGTACACGGTATCCCAGTCTCGGCAGTTTGCGAGCTTCCTCCTGTCAAGAGAAAACTGCCTGGTGTATGGGTTGGAGTTGAGGTTAATACACGTGGGTACGAAATGTAATCACATGGCGGTGTAAGGAGCCGTGTGCTCGCACGCACCTTACGGGCCTCCTCCGCCTGCGCCTGCCGTTTCGCCGCCTCCTGCCTCTTCTTCTCCTTGTTGCTCACCGAGGACGACATCAGAGCGGCCTCCCATGGCGGCACGTCTACCTTCTTCTTCGTTTTCTTTTGACAGACGCCGAGGAGTGAAGGACAGCAGGGGGTAGGGGGCGGTACAGTACCCATGTATTACATGCCTTAGACTATTGACCACGCGTCCTCCAGAGAGGACAGAGCCTTGTTCCCACAAGGCTCATCGTAGAGTTTGCCACTCGATCTTTCCTACTTTGCCCAGGGTGGCATTTTTTTTTTTTTCCGCATCTCGTCTCGCGTGGGGATCTCATTGCCATCTCATCAAATTTTATTGACGCATGGGACTTCGCCTTCGTGTACAATAATTACTTGCTGGCTTTCGCCCTTCAACCGAGACAACCATAGACCGCGCACCCCTTTTTCGGAGCCAGAAGAGGCCCCTCCCCATTCCTACTCGATTGTAGCCCCCGCCAACGGGTCGGGCGTTTCGTCTGGCAAAATGTGCTTGTAGCGACAGCGATTCTTTCAAGACGACCTTTGACCTTCCACCACACGTCCCGGTCGTGAACCACAACAACCCAGCAACCCCATTGTAATATGACCGGCTTTCTATGCCACAAAAAAGGTATGTTCTCTTCACTGATGTAAGAAACGCCTTCACTCACCGGGATGCCTTTCAAACTGTTGAAAATTCCAAAACAAAAAGTGGGGTTGGCTATCAAGGCACAAGTGCTTTACGAAGGAGTTAGCTTCCCAGGAAAAATAAATAGAAGTTCACCAAACTCCAGAAAATACTCCCTATTCAAGAGTTAGCTTGCACCACCGTCTTTTTTTGCTCTACGTTTATCCGCACGGTGCGGCGGGATTAGCAGAGGTACGACGACCCGGGGTATAGATATAAATGGATCTCGTATCTACCAACGCAACTGTTCTCTTTTGATGTGGCGAAAAATACATTCCAGGTACGCGCTTGAAAAATACATGTACCACACGGCACGGTCTCTAGAACGGTCCTGCCACTTCGATATCCCAACCGGACGCGTGAACGGCAGCGCCGCTTGTGAGGGATGGTGGACAATCATGGAAGCATGAGAAAAAAAAAACGTCCTCCCCTGACAAGGTTAGCGATTTTTCTGTGCGCGGTGTGCATTTCTTTCTTCGTATTGCTGCGCGATGCACCCAGCAGGATGGGCCCGCTTTCGAAACGTCGTCAGCCCTTCCTCACAACATGGTGATCGTGGATTCTACTATTACTACTGCTGTGAGGTTGGAGACCACATCTCCGGGGGGGGGGGGCATCGATGACTATAGTCTAATACTGCTTAAACTAATGACAACTCAGGCTGAG